CTGTTCGCCGCCCACACGTCCGAGGTGGACTTGGGCGCGCGGTTCGTCGAGGTTGATAGCCTTCAGAGCCTTGCCGTGCCCTTCCACCGCCATCACCTCTCCCTTCTCCTTGGCCTCAACGTCGTGCAGTGCACAGAACGTCACCATCAGGAGAGTAGCCTCATCATCCTCATCAGCCTGCGATAAATGAGCCTCAGCCTTCTTCTCCTGCTTGCGATTTGGGCACTCCTTTGCCCAATGACCCATCTTCCCACAGCGCCGGCAGGCGTTGGGGTCGACCTTCTTCTTCTTCTCCGAAGATGCCTTGCCGCGGTGCTTGCCATCGCCACCGCGGCTGGAGGAGGCTTCCCCGGACGACTTCTCCTTCATCCAGGCAACCCACTCCTCTGTCAGCAGTAGCTTGTCGTTGTCCGTCGTTGCTGTGGCCTGCTCTATGCGCTCGTCCACCACCCGCAGACGATCTGTCACATCCTCAATGGTAAGGGTGGACAAGTCCAGCATCGTCTCTATGGTAAGAGCGATCTAGATGTACTTCACCGGCACGGAGTGGAGGTACTTAGAGACCGCCTCTTCTTCATCGATGGTGACGCCGTGGCTCCTCAGCTTGCTGATGAGCGACTGCAGGCGGAGGGAGAAGTCCACCGACTCACCATCCTTGAACTTGAGGTTGGCGTACTCCTGCTTCAGCAGCTGGGCCATCGCCTTCTTTGCGAGGTCGAAGCCGACGCGCATCGCTGCAACGGCCTCCTACACCTCCTTAGCAGAGTTCTTCGCCCCCAACGGCTCCCTGTACTCCGCTGGCACAGCAGCGAGGATAGCCTCCAACACTGACACGTCGTCTTCTTCGTTGTCGGTGTCCTTGTCAATGGCATTCCAGAGCCGTCGGGCTCTGAGCTTGACCTTCATGGTCACCGCCCACTCGCCATAGTTGGTGCGAGTCAGCGTCGGCCAACTGGTGCTGCTGACCTCCCGCACCGTGCGCACGACGACCTCCTGTCGTGGCTGGGCAGCCACAGCAGCGCCGCTGCTGTCGCCCATCTCCGAACCGTCCGTCATCGCCAGCAGTTAGTCCGGCGACGGCGCTTGTATGGCTCCAATACCATTTGTTGGTCCCTCGGCTGCCCTGCACAGATAAGCAGTAAGCTTACCAGCACACCCACTCACTATGGCTAGAGGTAGAAGAAGATATTGAGAATAGCTCACACACACACAGCACAAGTCCAGCGCTGGCCGAAAGCTCTGCTTCTGGATGTGGCAAACTGAACTGCTCTTTTGCATTGCCTTAGGTGTGATATATATACAAGTGCTAGTACCTCTACCAGGTACATAGTTGTTGGTGAGTACACCAATTATCTACTCCTAAGGTACACCAACTACTCCTAGTACTAGCAGTACAAAGCTTAGATCAACCCACTACTAAGACATGGTTGATGTAATAGTTACCAACTAATGTACTAGAGGTGGCCTATTGCCATACTATTACAGCAGTAGAGACTAGACAGCCGAGCTGACCAAATGCCAACTCTGCTGCAGCAAGAGCGAGAGAGATTAGAGAGATCAGCAGCAGATTATGTCTTACATCATATACATCTATATTTTTTGTTAGGAATATATATAAAGTTAGAGAACAGGAATCACCTTAAAGCCAGTGTCACCTGGGTTGAAATAAAACTTCTCTTGATAACCTGACAAACAGAAGCAGCTTTCTAGATGAGATAACCCAATCTATAGCAGAACATCAAAAGACTATTGACCTTACCTGGTCCATCTGGAATGTGTGATTTGCGATAGAGTCCAAGATCAGTGCCATCAGCATCGATAATGGCCACCGAATTATAATGTGCATTGTTTGCTTCTTCGAAAAAACTGACAGGTATCACAACTTCCAACTCCTTTGCAAGCTGTTGCATCCTATGGACCATGAGGGGCGAAGCTGCACATGTAAATGCCAAAGAAATAGAATACATGCATTTATTGACTGCTGACAGGAACAAGCATGTCTACCTTATAATAGTTGGATTGCCTTTGTAAGGCTTAGCACGCCGAAAGAAATCCAGCCTTTGAGCTTGACAGAAATAGTGCCCCTCAAACAATTCCTAGCACATTTAAGAAAAAACAGAGAGAGAGAGAGAGAATGAAAAACTTAAGGAATATGGAAATGAGAATATATGTCCAAACTCCTACACCCTTTCTGCTTTCAGTTTTAAAAAGAAGCATTGCAGTTAAAATCTTGATGATCCATAGCTATCATATAAATTTACCTGAATGAGTACAATCTTTGCACCTTTCTTGTGTGCTTCCCTAATCAACCTGTAAAACAAGCGATCAGTCCCTAAGCTTTCATGGTTTTTCAGCGATGTAAGTTAAATATGGGTGCATGTGGATGTGTGCTGGGTGTTTTACATCATACTTTCTTCTTTAATGCAATGACATGTAGCTCTCCAGTGCGTTTGAGTAAAAAAAGAAAAGAAAAAACAGAGCAATAGCTAAAAATGAAAAGCATGTATTCCATGTCATTTTAAGTAACATAAGTCCAACCATGGATGTCTAAATTTCCTAGCGTAGTCAGAATATATTTCTAATTCTAAATCTTGTAAAAATAATTTCTAAAACTGGTGAATTTTGAACACACACTGACAAAAAAAAGTTCTAAAACTTGTTTTGACTGATGGACTGTCAAGCTGAGAATGGCAGTGAAAGTAAATGAAAGCCACATCGACACTAATGGTGAGTACTAGATCAAAAGAAATAATAAAAATTTAGAACATCTACCAACCTCATAACTATAGAATAGCTTTGCGACACAACAATGCACTCAAGTAAAGCTATGACTTCAAACATGCTACATGTCAGAGTAACAGAAAGTGAAACAGAGTAAGTTCAAGAAATTCCATTCAGCAAGACAAACCATACTGTTGCTATGATGTACCAACATGAGGTGCAAGAGAATTGCAAATCAAGTGAAGACAAGACAAATTTTGGAATTCTGAGTTTTCTTTTTTCACTATAATATATAATCAAAACAAAGTATAACACAATGTAACAGTAGCATCCAACCAGGTTTTGTTTTTTTGGAACAGCACTGTAACTATTGGAAAATAGAATCCTGGCAACGTAGCGTCATAGAAAAGTGGCAGAAGAGTTAACACTTCAAAGGGTGGAAAACTGACTCGTTAAGCATATCGTTGCTAATTTACCAAGATGTGCTTCGGTTTTAACGCAGCAGCTAGAAATTAGAACAGTGCCAGCGGCTTGAAACAACTTGGCCAAAATGTAGACAGAGGAACCAAGTCTGCAGTATTTTGCGTGTTTTTGCGGTGGCCACCATACAAATACAGAAATAAACTTGGAAACGAACTTTCACTTTATTGTACTAGAATATAGCAGGTCTTGTAGCATAAGTAACCAAATCCCAACAACTGAACAAACAGAAACATATCATTTAACTTGTTATTGGGATTCCTCAAGAAGCCATCAGAAATGCATAAATGAGGATAAAGTAGCTGATACAAATGGTTATGTAAGATTGTACTGAACGATCAATCAGGCATTCACCAAAGGCGCAACATCTCATGGTACATAACCGAATCCAAACACCAAAGCAGATGCCTCAATAATTCACTGAAAGAATAAAGTAGCTGGCAGAAAAAAAAAGAATGGAGTTGAGAATAAAGTAGCTGACAGGATTGTCCAATCCAAGGAAGAATGCACAGAAATCCAATGTGCAGATACATAGCAGTTAAGATATAAGATTGTTATAGTTTTCTTTGGGGTGATTTTGTACTCAAAATTCTATAGCGACTCCAAATTACATTTAGAAGATACTACTACTACTAGGGACCGTACTAGGTTACTACGGAATTGGTTATCAGGTTACATACTTGATGGTAAAATAAAGATTACTAAGTCAATGAGAGGAACTACTTGTGGCACCGTTACTGAAAGCAAACTCCTGCGTGAAAATCAAGTACTAGGGGTGCGCAGCGAATGCAGATTTCAGTATAAATCATCATGAATCAAACCCTTGTTAGCAGCAACCGCAAACACCAGGACCACGTGCTACTGAACAGGATAAGAGGTAGACATCACAAGTTCACAACTCCAGCAAACTTCAACGTCTGCGAGACCGCGACTAGACTAAACGGCTAGGATTTTGGCTCCTTGGGGGAGGGCATCAGGGGCGGGGGTTAACTAGGGAGGTAGGCGGGCCGCCGCGGGCGGGCGGGCAATAGCATACCTCTCGGCGGTGGCGACGTTCTCCGCCTCGACGTCGGTGCAGGCGAACTGCACGGCGGCGACAGCCACCTTCCTCCCCGCGGCCGCAGCCATCCTCCTCCCCTCCGCTCCTCGCGCCTTCCCGCTTCTTCACCTACCCCACACCTCCCTTCCTTGGGACTTTGGCGGCCGCCCGCCGCTGCTGCTGCTGCTGCTGCTGCTGTGGTTTCAAGCAGAGAAATAAATCTACAGTTATAAAGAGAAAAGGGAGCGCCGCCTTGGGGAATGGGGCCTACCGTCGTTGACTTGTCTTGGTTCTTCTTTCATGTGGGCCGCGAGCAAGGCGAGGCGACCCATGCCACCGTCCCTCCCATCTGCTCATGGGGAAGGAAGTTGGTCCAACTTTAATGGGCTTGATTGGGCCAATGGAGCATTGATGAGCCCAAGGCCCACCGTAGGAAGGAATCAGAAACTGGATTACTGCTACTGGAGAGAGGATCGTAGCGCTGTGCTCCAGTCGCGGTTTCACAAAACCGTGTTCGCTCTCCGGCTCATCCTTATCCTGACTCACGTGAGAATCTGGCAGGTTCGGAGCATCGGCCTGACACTGACAGACCCCTCCGACTCCTACAAAGAGATAAGGAGGCGGCGTGTCCTAGAAATAGTCTACGCAAACCGATCCGATTAGAGATCCGCTACTAGTGTCACCGTGGTCGTGTGTGTTCCTGGGGAGGAAGCGAACTCTGCTTGCGGAGCAAGAAGATACCGTGGGTGAGAAACCGGGGATGGCTACAAGAAGGGCCGTGGTGAGGGTTACTGCTCAGCCTGCGTGGGCAGCCGTGGCGAGGAGGATGGAGGGCGTGGGCGGCGGCGGCGGCGCCCGCGTGTCGCGCTACTTCAGCGACAAGGCCTCCGGCAGGGTGCTCAGCGAGGAGGAGCGCGCCGCCGAGAACGTCTACATACAGGTACGGTGGTGATCGGTTGCCTACTGCTGACTGACTCACTGACTGATCAATTAAGCAGCGGTGTGATCGAGTGCGATGGTTTCGAATTTAATTCTGCTAACCGACTTGAGTTGGGGATTGATCTGAGTACGCAGAAGATGGAGCGGGAGAAGCTGGAAAAGCTGAGGAGGAAGGAGGACAAGGCCAAGGCCGAGGCGGCCAAGAGGGCCGCCGCCGCCGCCAAAGGCGACAAGAAGGTAAATGACAGTATCCTCCATTCTCGTCTCTCCGTCTCGGATGAGAAAAAAAAAACCCTACAATTTGGGTGGATTTTTTTCGCTCCGCCGCCTGCCGGAGCAGTAGGCCTTAAAGTTTCCATAGAATCTTTTGAGACTCCTCCAATGATTTTATTTGGAAGAGAGTTTTCTCATTTCACTGGAGATGCTCTTAACGTCGGATCTATCTTACTGCCAACTTGATTATGGTTTCTGTCTAGAATGTTCGCTGGATTCTGATATTCGTGTTGATCATTCATGTACGTGTCCTTGACTCCTTGTTGGGTTGTTTGCAGAAGGGTGAGGAGGCTCATCCGAGCTGATCGCCAAATCAGATCGATGCTCCCGTGAGTTGTGATGGTGTGGATACTGCTGATGACAAGTACATGCAAATAGACTCCTCTCCTTGCACTGTTGTACTCTGCATTGAGAGGAACGTTTCACGTTTGCTCTCTTTACAACTCTTCTCGTCGTGTGTAATCCCTGTCACTGTTCTGAACTAGGTTTGTAGCGACGGTTGTCTTGTCGGTGCAAATGGAGGCGCCCTTGAGCCTCTTCTATGTACATAGTTTGTCAATAACAATGAATAAATGTAGTCCCCTCGTCAAAAGAAGTCCTAATATGCGTGCATATCTCGCTTTTGTACGAGTCAAATTTTTTTTAAGTTTGATCAATTGTATAGAAAATAGTATTAACATTTATATTTCAAATACGTTTATTAGGCTATATCGCGTCAGGTTTTGTGTTGGTAACGGTGACCACGAGTTTCATCCAGATAAATTTTTTTTATCTCACTCTTCATAATTAATTCTGTCGAGTTATCAAATATGCTGATCTCTCACAGTATTAAATGCAAAGGACGCTCTCACTAAGATTGACCTTCCCCGGTTGCCTCCAGTCCGAATTTTGCGTTGCGTTCAGTTGATTATTCGTTTTCATTCTTTTCTTCGAACTGTTTAGCTCCCGCCCCGTCCGTTCCTTCTTGTAGTGATTTCTTGTGACTGATTTTTCCCATCCGTTCCTCGATTGAGGTTTAACTTTCAGAGGGGAAAAACACATCCTCGAATGCAGTCCACTTGGTACTCTGCGAGGAAACTCCAGAATCACAGGCTACTCAGGCACAAAAGTTCGAGATTAAAACAAATATCAATCAGCAATCTGGACCCATAGAAAAATGTATAGCAAGGGTAGCTAGAGACTTGACAATAATGTGGAGGCAGAGTAGCAGAGGGTCATGACAAAGTTCAAATTCAAATTGAACTCCTAGCAAAGATGCATATGTACAGGAAAGGCACGAGCTACTCCGATCCGACCGGCGTCAACTGACAAAACCAAAATCTAACCAGAAAAAAAAAAAGATCCATGTGGCCGACAGTACGTGGCCAGGCACACCGCACACCTACACAATCGACCGATCTGATGTTCGGATCCCATGCCCCGTGGCGCCTTGGCGACTCTACTCGGCTTCGCTCGCCCTCGGCCTCCTGTCGCGGCGACCCTTCCAGCAGCAGCTGCAGAACATGACGTCGGCGCCCACCAGCCACGCCCACCACCGGCGCCGACCACTAGTGATGCCCTCAGCCGCGGTCCTCGGCTGCGACCGGACGCCTCCGAGGCAGGACACCTTGGGCGACCCAGGCTCCGCCTGATGATGATGGCCACCCGCGGCCTCCCCGGACGCGAATACCTTCGCGCCACCGCCAAGCCCAAGCTGAAGCTGGCACGGGGAGCGGCGCCTGCGGTGGTCGCGCGCGGCTGGCAGGCCACCGGTGACCACGGCCACCGCCCTCGGAGCCGCCGGTGCGGACAGCGAGCTCCTCGCGGCCGTCGCGGCGCACGACTTGGGGTTGGCGGCGGCGCCCTTGGTGGAGTCGTCCCGCTCCAGCACCGCCGCCACGGCCACGGCGCCGACGACGTCGCTCCAGTCGATGTCCTCGCCGATCCGCAGCCGGAGAGACTCCGCGGGGGCGTACGGGTCGCAGTCGGAGTATGACGGCGCGGTTTCGCAGCCGCACGTCGCCTCCAGCTCCGCGCCGCCATCGTCGCGCAAGACGAGGGAGCCGACGTCGAGCGGTGGCATCGCGCAGCTCAGCGTGGTTGACTGGCTGCGGCGCCGTGTGTGGAAGAAGCAGTGGAAAGGAGACGCAGGCAAGCACGGCTGGTACGTGTTTGGTTTTGAAGAGCGAGGCCGCGGCGACCAGCGTGGCGAGGGGTGCCTTTGACTCCTTGAGGCTGCAGCCCTGCACTGCAGGGGAGGCGCCAATGGTTTGGGAGGTGGAGATTTGAAAAGGTGATGGACACGACAGCGGTGGGTGGGGGCGGCTGGTCGCTTTGGAAGGAAGCTAATGGTGTAGGTTTAGGCTGTGTTTAGTTCGCGAAATAAAAATATTTGGGTGTTAGATGTTTCGGAGATGTTAGAAGGGGTTTTTAGATACTAATAAAAAAAACTAATTACATAGTTCGTCTGGAAACTATAAGACGAATTTATTAAGCATAATTAATCCATCATTAGCGCATGTTAGTTACTGTAGCACTTATAGCTAATCATGGACTAATTAGTCTTAAAACATTCGTCTCGCGATTTTTAACCAAACTGTATAATTAGTTTTTTTTTGTCTATATTTAATACTCTATGCATGTGCCGCAAGATTCGATGTAATAGTTGGGGTGAAAAAATTTTAGAACCAAACCATGCCTTAGTTGGTTTGGATTGTGCTCCCGAGACCCGAGACCTCTTGCGCCTGTCTTGTCTGAGATTAATAAGCTAATCGAGTTTGGTTAATTCAGCTGCTGCACCTGCAGGAGGAGTTTGGTCAATGCAGGTTGGTACTTTGTCTATGCATGGAACGGGTCCCGGGCTTGCAGAAGGAGGGACTGCTTGGTGCTTGGCGCCACCGGGCAGAGCAAGAAGCTTCTATGCGCCGTTTCGATTCGAGTGATTTGTTTTGTTTTCAATCGGTCTGGTGCTTCGTGCTCGAGGAGAAGTAGTAGGAGTACGTCCTCCTCTTGCACAAATGATGATCTCCACTCATCAGAGGAGACGAAATCCAATCGTACTGTCTGGATCCCTTGATGTCTTATTCCAAATAAAATATATAGTTCATAATGAACAAAATGGGTCCATAGCTCAGTGGTAGAGCAATCGACTGCAGATCGATAGGTCTCCGGTTCGAACCCGGATGGGCCCTTTGTTGTTTCTGTTTTATTTCATTTTCAATTACCTTTGTGTTTTTCGAGCGTCTCACTTTTTGCCGTTTAATTACTTTTTGCTTTTCCAAAGTTTCCGAGATGCTCGAATGGGAAATAGTTTTGTTGTTCTCAACCGATGGTTATCCATTTGGCAATAATGAATCAAATGGGCTCGTTGTTTTTCCTTCTATTTTTAATTACTTTTTGTTGTCCGCGACCATAGTCTTGGACTGTTAGTTACAGAAAAATGAATGCTGAAATGAGAATCCAAGGTATTACATTGAAATTTTTGTTAGCAAAAGGCGTCCTCTTTATTGACAGGGGGCTCTATTTATGCCGCTTCTTCTTATACGTTATGTTTGTTTGGGCTTGTTTGGCTTATAAGCCGTATTTTTTCAGCCAATAAATAGTATTTTTCTCTCACACCAAATCAGTCAATAGTATTTTCAGCCATGGCTTATCAGCCAAACAAGCCTAAACGAACAGGACAATAATTGACGGACTAAAGTGCTCTCTCAACAGCCCTAGATTCTGAGAATATTCCTATTTTGTTACACTTAGTCAAAGTCAGATTTGCTGCTTAGAAATCGCTCGGTCGGAAAGAAGATCACGAGAAGTCCTTCGCCTCTAATGCTGCCCTCGAAGCTCGTGAAGTTCTGCGAAGACGAAGAAATATATTTTTTATTATTTTTTTGTCACGCGCCGTTTGCAAGTCTCGCATTTACCATTGATTATATTCCATATATTGCGCCCGGATCGACAAGTGTTGTTTTCCTCGAGATGCATGTGTTTGGTCTTGAGGCCATCTTTCCCCGAGATGCGTGTGTTTGGTCTCTGAGGCTAGCCTCAACAGGAGTTTCGTGAACATTAAATAAGTTGACATGGCATAGTTTACATGAAGAGAGAGAAAGAGATCATAAAAGTTTTATAAGATGAAATAAATTTTACAGGGATGAAACTTGTTTACACTGTTTCGAACATCTAGAGTCTTGTAAACAGGGACATAAAACTCTCACTAAGACTTGCATGATAGAGTATCTTGTTTTCTCCTAACCCAGTCTCTCATTTAAGGACTTCTTTACCACTATGTCTCAAAGTCACTTTTGACAAGGTGTCCGATATATTTCTTTTGTATTTTATCGGGTGAATATTGTAATGCATATTGGGAACCCTAACCGAATTCAAATGTAAAAAGTTTGAACTGAAAATTTTTAGATCTCTTCATATTACTACAACTTTGGTTCAAATCATTTCTACATATGAGGTTAATTTCAAAATGGTGATTTTCTTGGCAGATTACAATAGCACTTAAGGAAATGGCCGTCTTTGCATATTTCCTTGAAGGCCGAATGGAACCGCAAAGGATACAAATTATCTTGGCAATTTACTACAACCACCGAGGAAATGATTATTCCTTGGCGGCAAGAGATTTCGTCACTTAAGGAAATTCTAGGCCACCAAAAAATTTCTGTTTTCTATAGTGAATATATGTAAAATGACCAAGGTGATTAAAGTAACCGATTAAGAGATTGGTAGCCATAAAAGCTAATTTGCCCTGTTAGCTGACATGAACCCTGCTGAAAACTTATAGTTTTTAGCCTACTTAGAGCCCGAAATTGGTGACCCAGTCACGCTTAAAGGTGAAGTGTTTACACTATTGTCCTTCTCTATGGTATATGCTAAGTAGTTCATGTTAGCACTGAAGTGAGTTGTTAAGAAAAATTGGGAGAACGCAATTCACCAAAAGGTTAATGTCAGCCAATCTTTTAGAGTTAGGCTTAGAGTCAAAAGGGTTGATTTTCCTTAATCCATTCAAACTTTATGGTTCTATTTGAAATGCTTTTCAACATAATTTTGTACTATATAACTTTTTCTACTGTAAAATACATTCCTTGTAGATGTTTTCTCATGTTGGCATATTTTTTAGTGTTTTAATAATATTATTTTATAAACATCCATAAACAGGCATCAATCAATTAATCGACACTTAGGTTTTCTTTTACCCTTTTAAGCATTTTCTTGTGATTTTTCATGTGCAAAACCTTACTAACTTTGATCATGAGTTGATTTAGAGTTGTTTGAACACTATTGAAAAGTTTGTTGGCATCACAAGTATTGACGTTATTATTAATAA